TTCAGTCCCATGCAGCATGTCAGAGATCATGCTGCAGTAAATCTATTCAAATGTAAACCTGTTCAATTCAATTACCAGTTTATAATAAAATTTGCTGCTGCAGCCTCCACGTTTGTCACAGCAGTCTCTACATGCTGATGGCACAGCATGCCTGGAAATTGACAGCCTAAATCTATTTACAAAAAAAATTTAGTTGCAGACCTGAAATAAAATCAAGTTTAAGCAGCTTTGAGAGGAGCATCATATTCCTTACAAGAACTTCTGCACATCTGCCAGTGTACATCTTCTCCAGAAATCTTATCCTGTTAGTGGGGAGTTTTCTTCTAGAAATTTTCCTTAACAAACAGTTATTAAATGTAGTCCTAAGTGAAACAATTATCAGACATTGTGCTTCCCTTCACATTTGGAAGGACTTTTTATTACATTGTCATTTTGTGAATCGTCATATAAATTTCATGATAGAAATCACAGTGCCTGGAAAAAGATCCTGAGTTTTATTTTAGCTTTTAGGGCAAGGTCCGAAAGCCACTTACAGCAAATACAGAGTGGCTTCTCTTATGACAGCTGCATGTTATATCATTTATTGTGGGAAGATAATGGTGCTTTTAATCCAGCATCCAGTGTTTCCGCAAGACACCTAGTGTTAGAAATTTGGGGCCATGTCTTGGGGTCAAACCCTGGGAGGGAATTGGATCTCTGGTCACATGAAATACAGGGTGGAATGGGGAATTTCTGCACATATTCTCAAGGATGTCAGTGGGGCACGGCCAGCAACACCTAGATCAAGATTCTTAACAATTTTATAAGTTGTGGGCCAGAAGCTAGAGAAGGAGGGGTAAAGCAATGTCATACTGGGCTGAGCTGGCATGGGATTGAAGTCCTGCCTCCTGTTTGCATCTCCTGTTGAGTAGCACAAGAAAGTTTGTACAGGCTGATCCAGGGGAACACTTTATTTTGGTTTAGCCCATGGACTGTTACTTGAAAACATAAGTCTAGGTGTATGGAGGTTTTTTGACTATGCGTTATGCTTCATACTGAAGCATTCAGCAGATGCTGACGAGCTTTTAAGCACGTGACAAATATGAGGGTGTCATATTTTCAGTTACTTTCATAGGTAATGGTTATTAGCAGCATGGCAGAATACACTTTACTCAAAGACAAAATTTTACATTTTTCTATTTTTAATTCTGTGTGTCAGTATTACGAAAAATCAGTTTTTTCAAGGATCACAATTGGTTCTTCTCCTGAAACACCGTTTCTTTGACTGTGCTTATGTTTTGGTGGATTGTCTCAGATTCACAAGAACAGATGAAACAACATAAAGATTCTTGTGTAGTCTAGGGAGAAACTTTTCAAATGTATCCCTAGCGATTTCTTTAAATAATATCACAATTGCTAAAAGGGGGCAGGAAAGAAGAATTTGCCCTTTTTAAAAATGAATGCTTTAAGACATTCTCTAGTTTTCAGTTCTGTTGGTTTATAATCAGTCTTTTAAGTTTGGCCTTTCAAACACTTTGGAAGCTGGTGATTAGTTTGCTTCAGGTGGTAGAATTAAATCTCTGTTCATGTGCAAGATTGGGTGTTTTAGCTATTTTCCTTTTCATACAGCTAGTTGGAGTGAGAAAAAGGGGTCGATTTTTTTCTTTTCTGAGAAGGAAAAATGGATGTAAAACTGCATAAGTTGATGTGGGAAATCATGGGTAGATAGCTGACTTTTTTTTTCCTTTTCTATTGCTAGTCGGTCTGGTTGAGTTCTACTTTTAGTCTTCCATTAGTACTATATGCCCTTTAATACTATCTGTGGGACTACTTACTAACGTGTCTGTGATAGAAGATATTCCAAGTTTATTATACTGCAGATCTTGCTCAGGATAGCTGCCCACGTGAAATAATTTCACTGGAGTAATTATTCCAAAATAAAATTACTTTTTGTTTCAGATGCAGCATTCATGTGACTATTTTTTCAAGACTTCAGTCCATATGTTTCAGTTTTCTCCATGGAGGCAAAGCCATAGCCTCAGTTTTATCTGTCCCTATATTGTAACAAGGTTAAAAATTACAGTTCAGAGGGGAACCTACTGAGTGGCACTAACGCAGCTTTTAGACCATCTGAAATATTGTATCCTGTCTTAGCTCTTACAGTTCTGAGCACTGATAGTTCATACTTCTTATAGGACTGTTGACACCAAAACAGCTCCCATATATCTCTCATCTCTGATATCTGGATGTTTTCAGAATTTTTAATGAGTTGTTTGCAGTGGCTGATCTGCATTGCTTGTTATTTCAGAAAGTGTAGTTCATAAGTGGGTGATACATAAGGAAACAAATTTAAGTTTATTTGAGAAGTAAATTATACCATAATGAAATGGCAGAAAATTTGGGTTGCTTCACGCAAGTATGTTTGTATTTTCCTTATGAGTGGATGGCCTTTACAAATTATCATCAGCCACTTTGTACCCAGTTAGAATAGAGAGTGACAGAATTCCAGCTT